GACAAGAATTCCACCTCATCCACATAGATTACAAAGATGAAGAGGATGAATCTAGAAGGCAGATGGCGTATAAATGATGGCAACGTCATTATCTTTGATCAGGCTAGTGAAGAAAGTCTTCATACAATATCATACACATAAAGGAAAATAGTAACATATAAGGCACAACAATAGTAGCTTATTAAAGAGAAGGGAAATAAGTTGTGAAGCTTGTACCTTTCCTTTCTACAGATCCTTTCTACATGGTAAGAAACATTTCAAAACTAGAATTCTTGAGCAAAACTGGTTATTTTTGGCATGACGTGAAAAGGAAAAAGTGGCCATCTATCCTGACATAGAGGACCGCTAACAACTAATAGAGAACCAACTAAACAGATAGCAAAGGATAATGTGAGCAGTTGGGAGAAGAACCTGTAGGTCCGGTGAAGAAAGCCAGCTGCCTACATAAAAATTAAGCTAACAATTGTCAGGCACTGAAAATTTGTCAGAGGCTGACAAAATGAACAAGAGCCTATGTTACATGGACTTGATGTCAAATTTGAAAATTCTTTGTAGTTGGTTACTATAAAACAGGTCCTGTATGTAGGAATAAAACAGAAGTATGGATTTGCACAAAATCTTCCTCTCTGCTATAGAGCACTATGTGATTTTCTTCTCAGGCCAAATGGCCAATGATACAGGAGCACATTGTATTCAGTCCAAAGGTCAAGCTAATGATGATCTGCCTCATTCATGTGATTCGCATATTAACACCCCCCAAAAAAAAAAAGTTAACATAGTCATAGGTTTGTAGTGAGCATTACTCTGTCGCCCAACCCAGTCGCTCTGCCAGAGGTATGATGCCTAGTAAGCTCAAAAGGAATACCCATCCCTGAAAAAGAGTTTACAAGATCAGGTGAATGGGAAAACTTACAGAAATTAGTTTGGTAAATGGTGGGAGAGCAAGAGACAGACTTACATGATGGCTTGTCAATTTGTCAACCAGTATTGCTAAAGGCCCACAAAGGACAAGTATATTTAGCTTATCAGATAAGAGAACAATTCTAATGCTGTTGAATGCCCGTCTAAGTATACATCTACAACTAATCTCTTCTACATCACAAAAATATCTGCGAGGAGCAGCATCAAGAGAAGATGTCTTTATAGAAATCATCCTCGGGCTGCTGAGACTCTCATCCTCAAGCTCAAGAACCGATCTTCCCTCTAGAGATCCCATCTGATGAATCAATATGCTTTTGTTAGATACTGTCACAGAAGCTCTGTCAAAATAGCTATAGAGCTCATCCGTTCTTTCTTCAGCCTTTGGCCTCAAGTCAGTATGATACAACACAGCTTATTAGAAATTTGCTAGAAAAATAAATAAAATGTCGACTTTTACTGCCTGTTAAACATGGGGCATGCATACTTTGGTAAGCATGAAGGAAGCCTGATGTTAGCAGAAGCAGCAGCAATCCAAAATAAAGTTGCGCAAGCCCCTTCCCCCTTGTTTCACTGACCTGAGAACTCATCCGATATTCAATTTGGGAGTGGCAATTGGTAGTTCTTCCACTATCAAACCCATTAATTCCTCTAGATTCACTTGATTGAGATTAATTGTTATAATCACAAACTCTAAATTTACCTTCTGCTTGGTGGAAAGAATTGAGAGCTAGACACAACAGAAAAATTTTTATCTTTTTCATCAAGTAAACAACTAAAAATTCCTAAGGAAGTTTGTGAATTTTAAGAATAACAGTGCAGTGATTAAAGGACAAAACAGATGTTTTTTATTTTTACTTCCCATGTTTACTCTTCCTATGTTTACTATCTTTCTCTTTCCTACACCACTCTCCCAAATTGTGGCAATGCTAACAGAGTAATCAAAGATTGCATGCAAGTAGGACAATTCATAAGATCATTTTCTCCTTGAGACTTATAAATAGACACGTATAAATATGCAAAATAAAAGTCAAGATGAAAGAAACTCACCTCAAGGTGGGAATTGACCCCTGACATAGATGAGTTCTGATCAGCCATCTTCCTCTATTGCTGTCCTTGCCAGGCTGATCATAAAACCAACACTGTCCCATCTCCATACATGAGCATAACTGTTCCACAACCCAATTCACCAAATCCAGCAAGAGATCTGCACAACCCCATAAATTATGAAAATCCTTTGACCATCACTCCGATACAAATGGTATCAGAAATTGCCAAGAATCAATAGAAAATACCAAAGTCTACGAAAGAATATCCACACTACTAGTCACCAGGAAATTACACATGAAAACCGATGGTCCTCATACTTAAAACTTAAGAAAATGCCTGGATTGATAGAGACAGATGCAGAGAAACTACAGTAACAACAATTAATGGGAATCACACCTTAATGAAGTCAACAACTGCTGCATGTCTGTTCAATGTCAAATAATGGGAAAAAACTTTTGATTGGCCAGTCAGCAAAACCATCAAAAACCAAAATTTGATAAGACTTTGTTATTTTCTTCCTACTTTCTCATCAAAATTAAATCTTTTCTTTTTTTAGAAGTCTTTTTGATGCTTAAAGCGTAGTTTTCGTGGCAAAGGCGGTTGTTGTACGAAAATAGAGGTGCTTAAAAAGTTGGTTTTCAAAGCAAAAATCTGTAGAAAATGTGAAAGATGAAACTACATTCTAGGCGTTCGATGTATTCGACGCAAGGAGTAAAACATCGGATCAGTCCGTTTTTTTGTCATTTGGCACGGAACACTTGCTGCCTTCTCCTTTTCTGGCGGCAATTCTGCAGGCCATTTTCCATTGAGTTTTTGGGTCTATCTATTCTTTCCATCCTGCCTGTTTCTTCTAGAGTCCGTCCAATGCATCATGCATCAAAGTAAGAAATTTTTTTTTTTGGTTCAAATCAAAAAAGATCCTTAAGTAAGATTTTTTATTTTTTTTTTGGTTTCAAATCAAAGTAAGATCCTTAAGGATAAAAAAAAAGTTCGAGTATCCATGCATTTGAGGTTACTAGGTACCATCATTTTTTTCCTCGTCTTTTCTTATGAAAATGTACAAAAGATAGAAACAAATCACAAAAGAATTGCTGTATTTTCTAGTTCATCATTTTAGCATGAGGGAGGAGGGAAATGGATGTTGCAGTCACAGTCACCATAGTGCATGTTGCTATTAGGGTATCCACAATGCTATTACACCTTGTGGAGTGTAATTCATATGTCACGTCAGCATTCCACTTTCTCCTCTTTTATTACACTTTCACTCACAATGAATTACACTCCATAAGGTGTAATAGCATGGGTCCACAATTAAATTAAATATTTATTTTAATAATGCATAACCCATATCTCATAAATATATAAAGTAATTTTTAAAAATAATTTTGTTACTTTTAAAAAATAAAGTACTAACTTTCATTAAATTTTTTACCTTTTGAATTTTTTATTTTCTAAAAATGATATTATTAATTTTTAAGTTTGAATAATATATCTTTTTCTATCTCTCAAAAATAATATATTGTTATTTTTTCAAAAATAATTATGCAAAAAATTAAACAAATATTTGATACCTCGAATGCGAAGATATCATAATAATCCATACTTAATTAATAATTCGAAATGTAATTAGTTGAACTCCATAACATAATATTACATAATTTAAATCAAATAAAATACAAATAATAACAAAATGAATACTAGTTTTAAATGAATACCTCAAATAATATTACATAAAAATGATTGCTTTTAAAAATAAATTATTTGGGTCCCACAGCATCATGGATTACACGCATAGTGGATATTATGGGTGTAATCTCCATGACACGGCTCCAATACCGTGTCAATCCATTATGCGTGTAATCTCCATGACACGGCTTCAATACTGTGTCATGGAGCGAAGCCCCCCATTACACTACGCTGTGAATGCTCTCAAAAGATCATACGATTTGAATACTATTATTTTGGGGTTTGAGTACTTATTATATGTTATTTCAAACTATGTGTTGTAGCATCAAAATTTGTTGTATCAATTTATTGGAACAAATTGGCATAGAAAGCTACCAAGAAATTACTGAATCAAGTGCTAGCTTGCTTGCTAAGTACTACTTATTATGCTAAATTTGGCTCTTATCAAAAATGTTGCAACGCCTCCTGAAGACTTAATTTAGATGGCAGTGGCATTTTGTTCAGTGATATTAAGGTTCCGAGTTACCTAGTTCAATTCTCAAGTTCTCCCCTTTTTCTTTCTCGTCGTCGTGAGACTTGAAATCTTTCATTAACCTCAAAAAAAAAAAAAAAAAAAAAAAAAACACACACACACACACACACACACCTCGCATCATTTCGTTGGATATGTCATCACTCTTTTACCGTACCAAGACTAGTTGGATACATGGCCTTTGCTGTTGCAGGGCCAACTAGCCCATGCAGTGAGTGACCAAAGAGGCCCAACTTGATCTGGACCACTCATTTCAAATTTAAAAATCAATTGAAATAAGTGATTCGAATCAAGTCGGATTTCATTGAATCAATCTTGGCTACTCACGAAATCAAAAAAAAAAAAAAAATCATAATCAATCTTGGCTACTCACTGCATGGTCCAAATCTACCTGTTCTGATCCAGATTGGTCCAAGTTCCAACCCATGCATAAACCTTTAGCATTTTTGGAATTGAGCCTTACCCTCTCTTTAGAACACAAAACATGTATGTATATGTAGACGTCGAGTAGTCGTTGATAAAAATCTAAATTATTTGCTATTATGTTATTGTTAGTATTATTCTTTCTAATTTTTCCTTAATCTAAAGGTTTAAATGAGTTAAATCAAGCACAAATATAATACGGCCCTTCTCAGCTCGAATAGTGAATAATAAATTTGATTCTTATGATCAATTTATAATATTTAGGAGAGTTGTTTATAACTCATTTGAGAAAAAATAAATAAAAATAAAATTGGAGCTCAAACGAAAAAGAAAAATAACTCTTATTAATTTTGCCACCCTCGAGCCCGTCTTTAAAAGTGAAACCGCACAACGAAAACGGCTTCCGCTGCCCCTTTCATCCCACTGTTCCATTACCGAATGAGGACATAGCCAGTAGCCCACATGAGAATTCACAGAATAAAATCCCTAATCTCCAAGTTCACCCTGAATTGGACTGACAACTCCGAGAATTCCCAGTCGACGGCAGCTAGCGGGCGCTCAAAGCTTCGGTCTTCTGACTTCCATCGGTGCAAGCTGCCTTCGAAATTTCACGGGAAATCTGTAATTTGTATGCTCTATGTATCTATCAAACGTACGTAGTTTGTTATGTGGCGTCCCATGTTACTGGAAATTGTGCTTCGAAGGATGTACTTTGTTCTGGCTGGCGAAAATGTCACCCGTGCCGATTGAATTATTTTTGTTTTCCTTTTTTTTTTTCGTTGCATGAAAGCGAGTAAATTTTAAAACTTGAAGTTTTTAAAAGTTCCACAGAACAATTGAACAAATATGCGATGCTTTTTTTTCAAAAAAAAAATTTTTTTAAGTTTCAAAGTTTCTCTGGCTTGCTTACTTAAAGTTGTTGGGCAATTTTTTTCTCTTTTTCAGATTTTACTTCTTGTGCTACCAATTTATGTTTTTTTCTTTTTTATTAATTGTTGGGTTTTAAGTCTCCTGATTTGTTTTGTTTCCATGTTGCTGGCATGTACTGCTTGTGAAATTTCACTGTGCTTTTTTGCAGCTCTTTACCTCAATATGATTGCGGTTGGATTGCGGGTGGCATAATTTCTGTTCATGGAGCTAATTGCTATGTTTTAGCCTTTAGGATGATTTTGTCCAATGCGGTTGCTCTTTGCTCTTAAACATTATTGGGAACATTGTTGTTTTTGCTCACATGCTGCTTCAGTTGGGCGAGAAGGGAGATTTCCAATAAAGATTGTGAGGCAATGGGTTGGTCAGAAAAGGATTTCTGTATAAAATGTGATGAAGGAGGGAACGTGTTGATCTGCAGAGATAGTAGATGTCCCATTGTTGTTCATGAGAAGTGCCTTGGATTTCCAGCTAAATTTGATGAAATGGGCAGGTTTTATTGCCCATATTGCGTGTATAGGCGAGCCATTGAAGAAGCGCATCAAGCAAGGGAAAAGGCTTTGTCAAAAAAGAAAGCTTTATCAAAATTCTTGGACACAAAAATGACAAATGGGGACTGGCAAACACAAAAAACTGAAATATCAAAACGGAAGGAGTTAAGTCAGTTACCAGGTGTAGATAGCACAGGTAGCTTGAATAGTGGGTGTAGACCAGACAAGATCAATGTCCATAATCATACTGCTCGACTTGTGGAAGACCAAAATGAAGGCAGATTTGCTCCTGAATGTAGCAGACTTGTTTTGCTATCTAAAGAAACTGGTGAATCTATTCGTGGTGATCAAAATGATGTTTTGTGTAGTAACACAGGTGATATTGGAGGATCAAGTGATTGCAATTGCCGCATTGTTGTGGTTGGGCATCGAACTGAGTCAGGACCTATAGTTGCCTCTGGTAATGAATGTGTATCTTCTGACAGAGAGGAGACAATAAAACGGTTTGAAATGGTGGAAATTGGGAATAAGGTTCAATTACATTCTCAATGGCAACAAGATGATTTACGTGGTAAAGTTGTTGAAGATCAGCTAGATGACAAAAACTTGAGGGAGTCCCCTGCAGTAGAAAATCGCGGAATGGAAAACCATCTCTCTCCTGAAGCCAAAAGGGTTGGCAAAGATGGAGATATGTTGCGCGAATATGATGGCAGACTTGCTGGTGAAGAAGTAGAGAAGGAAAAGGTGCTAGAAAGTCCTGCAATTTCACCCAGTCACTCTGCATTGGAGATGCATTTACAGGAGAAAAGAGCCGGTCAAACTAGTGATTCAATATGCAAAGACTCCAATGCTGCATCAACTGGCAAGGCTTCTAAACAAAATGATAAAAGAAAAGAAGAAAATGCAGAAGCTACTTGCTTCAGGAAATTGTCTCGAAATTCAGCTTCACATCACAGAGCTAGTTTAGATCAGTTTGAGAAGATTCATGCATGCGGCAAGTTGAGAAAACTTAACAAACCTGCACCTCAATGGTAACTACTCAATAGGCTCGAGTCTGCTTCCGTGAATTCTCTTAGAATCATTTATTTGCATTTATTGTGTTTTTTTACCTTGATTTTTCTTTTTCAGCTCCATGATCTTGTGTCCCAATGCAAGGCGTAAAAGTTTACCATGGACAGATGCAGAGGAGGAGATGCTCAAGGTACAAATTATTGCCTTTAGATGTTGCTTTGTACAGCTTCATTACATTAAATGCTTCTAACTGTGAGAAATTATCCGCAAATCTCTAGAGCTTGTGAAGCTTATGTTAAGTTGGAAAATTTGATTCATTCCACAATCCCTTATAGTTAGAACAGGGCATTCTTGCGTTCCATGGAACAAGTCACCTTGAGCAGTTCCTTTTGACACAGAATTCCTGCTCAGGGAAGAAATCATAATCCCATAAGATTTGATCTTCAATATGCTGCTGTTTTGAATTGCTCCATATTCTTTTTGTGAAGAATATCTTTTACAGGTTGGGTGGTTTCATGATTTTGCAGCTTTTTTCCACAATTTGCTCTTAGTTTAATGGTAATTAGGGTAAATTTATATGTGATTGGTGCAATACTGAATTATCCATACTACTTACTTTTTTGGGATCACCAAACCTTAATGTGGGATTTATAGATCTATATTCACTAATTCTTGCCAACAGGAAGGAGTTGAAAAATTCTCAACTGACAGGAACAAGAATATACCTTGGAGGAAAATACTGGAATTTGGCCGGCATGTCTTTGATGGTAGTCGTACACCAGTTGATCTCAAGGATAAATGGAGGAACATATTGGGCAAAGTAAGATAAATGGTTAAAAGGGAAGCAACCTGTGATTGAGTAACAAGTAGATCAAGAATGGCTCTGGGCACATGTTTGCTTAGACGTCCTTAAAAGTTAGGTGCATGAATATTCTTCCTCGGAATTTGTCAGTTGAATGTACATCATTGTTTTTCTTTATTTTATTTCTTTAATCTGCCAATGATCAGGATGGGTCAGTTGGCTCTTAGATGAGTTTAAACAGAACCTTTGTTTAAACAGGTCCTGCCTTTTCTGTTAGCTCTCTCTCTCTCTCTCTTTTATAGGAGCTTTTGAAGATTTGAAGTTCTCTCTCACCATACCCTTTTGGACATTTTGTGACATTTACCATTCGAAATCTTGGAACACATTTTTTCAAAATAAGGACTACATAGTATTGAAATGTCAATAGAAGAAAAACTCTGGGAAATAGGATGAGGTGCCCAATTACTTTATGCCAGAGATGGAGCTCTTACTGGAAAAGTTAAAAGATATCACGCCATATGTCCATACTAGAAGTGAATGAGTTCAGATAGTAATTACAAACATTATTGTTAGAACTAGAATGGACAACAAAGTGCTTTGGGATCCATTGACATGAAAAGGCAGTGCAGAGGTCTATATGGATTACTTGATCAAAAGTAAATTTTGACTTATACAGTGATAACCTGTTCAATCAGCACAATAGTAAATAATAAACCATTAGCATAATTCCTGTATAAAGCATATGTATAGTTCTACAAGATTATCTCATTTTAGAGAGTTGAAAGCTTAATAAACAAAGCATGTCATTATCGAGTAATCAGCATAGAAGTATCCATGCGTATAATATTCATGATTAGTTGTCATCTTAATGAGAATCCTCATGTGCATGCATTGTTGTTTGTAGTTTGCACATGTTTTAGGTGGATATGCTACTTATGCTAATTGTCTACATATCATGTCCTAGCACATTGAGCAGGATGACATTTCTCATGTTTCCAGTTATAGGAAGACATGATTAGATATGTTTGGTATTTTCCATTAAATGCAGAAGCAACGTGGAATTAACCGTAACTCTTCATGTTTTCTTTTCACTATCTTGGCCAGGTATGTTGGAAAGTCTTGCAACTTCCAAATGCTAGTCAACACATAAATCAGCAATAATAACATGTTTCAGCAAATTTTGTAAGAATTTAATGTTCTATCCCTGCTGCTTATAACCACTATTTGGGATGTTGCTTAGTTTTATGACTGAATAGGACAAAATTTCTTTTAATTCAAGTTGCGCAGGTAACTTCATGCATCCTATCAATGTCAGAGGATATGACACTTTTTGGTAAGGGTAGTTTTTGTTCCTTCTTTATCAGAAATTAAGTGCATGACAAAGTAAACTCCTTTTGATCTTGGTCATCTGTATTTGTGGTTTAGATTTTAACAAAACCCCGCTCTTTTTCTCCAGCGACAAAGTCAATAAATGCTGCATGGAGAAAACTGAATCTGGAGGCAGCTGAGATTGACTGATTCCTTGTGTTAATAAATCACTTGATGATTAGCAGTGCTTGAAGAGACACTTCGAAATTCATGAACTTATGAAGATAGCTCTTCTTTCCTCTAAGTGTATGGCATGCTGAGAAAACAAGAAAAGGATGAGAAAATTTTGTAAGTTTGCTGCTACTTATTTTCTGATTATAACTTTTGTTATGATGTCAATGAACTCTGAGCGTCTACTTGGTGAAGCAAGATCAGCCAGCATCTTGGCAATTCAAGGTGCTCTTTCTTGTTCCTTATATTTTTCTGATCAAGAGTGCATTTTGTCAAATACTTGCATAATCACGTTCGTCCTCTGTTTCAGTTTTTATCCTTCATAGAAGAAGCATTTGTAGACAGAAATTATTGTTGCCCTTAGTTGTTTGGGAAGCTGATGGAAATTTCTAAGCCAAAGTTTACCACTACCTTTGTTTTAGTTAATTCTAAGTGGAATATCAAATAAATAGGACTTCAATGGTATCCCCGATTAAATAGTACTTCTTAAATAGACACATTATTTTAAAACTAAAAACTCCTTCTGTCTTTAGCCCTCTGGGATAAATATTTCATGTTGCCTCTTTTTGTTTGTCATGTAACAGGAACTCTTGCCCACCCTCGCATAGCAAGGGAAGGTCCAGGATGCGCTAATCCTGCTCCATTACCAAATGTCGACCATCATGTGAATGGATAAGATGTTAGCAAAACGCCAGATTGCAACCATTCTTCTCTTTTTCTTTCTTTTGGGGGAGGGGGCGGGGTTGTTGGTGTAAAGGCTCCATTTTCAATCTTGAAAGTCTCTGTAAGGTTCGGCAGGGAATGGTTCCTGGAGAAAACACTCCTGCAGAACTCAAAAAATTGTATACGTCCCCCTTTTTCAACTCTGTTGTGCATTTTCCTGGAGAGTACATAGTCGTCCACACACCCTCAATCGTTCAGTTTGTCGATTTAATCAGACTTGTTAGTTGATACACCCGTGCAGGTAGTGAATTATTGACTGATAACATTTTCAAGAATATATATATATATATATATATATATGCTGTTTCTGAATCCTGGCCAAGGGCCATTAAACAATTTGCGTTGTGTCAAACAAACAATTAAATGAAGAAACCAATCAAACTAACATAATAAAATTTGTTCCTTTTGTAGGTAGTATTGTTCATGCGACTAGAATGACGATTCTAGCACGCAAAAACGGGAGCAATCTTGTTCATCCATTCAATAAAAATGAAACCATCGTTGCTTCCTTAAAATTATTTGTGAACTCAGCATTTTGTTCCTTCTGTTAAAACTTTTGCATGCATGATCATCCGCTCATTCTCCATGCATGTTTTGAACATTTGTTGAAGGCAAAAGCATTATCTGAACTGTGAATTACAAGTCTACAAATGGAAAAGTAAAAGAAAGGCTATTGATGAAATTGACGGCCATGCTGATGGAGGAGGTGCAAGGATGGTGGAAGAAGATTTAATGGTGTTGGCATCGGTCAGTTGTTGATAAGAGGAAGGGCAAGGTCAATTCCACCTCCATTCTTGATGTAGACATTTGGGACGGTAGAAGATCCAGTGGCCAACTTCATAATATCCATGGTTCAAAGTCGCGGTCACGGTTGCGATCACGGCCCGAACCATTCCACATCAATCTCGACATATCGGTCGCGATTTTGGTGAAACGCAAATTTTTGAAATATTTAATATTGTAAAAATTGTAAAAAATATGATAAAAAAATAATTAAAAAATTGTTATGAAACAACTAAAAGTGTGGATGTCTCTTTGTATTCCCAAGAGGATTAATTCATGATTTATGACTACATTATGTATAGAAGTTACAATCCATAATTCTATTCATGTAGTGGAGAAACCGTTTCATAAGTTTCTTCATATTCTTGTAATAGTGGGTGTTTAATAGGATTGATGTACCTTTAATCTTGTAGTACCTATATATAGAGGGACATTGACATCCTTTGGAAGAACTTTTGGTATTGGTCAGAATATAAGAATATCATTCTCCCCTTCTCTACTTCTTTCTCTAATATCTCTATTCATACTATAGTAGTTTATTAATTTTACAATACGTTATCAGCACGAAGTCTCTACTTTTCAGCAAAAGGTAAAAACGGGGCTCTACCTTGAACAAAGGTGAAGCACGAGATTTTGTTGAAATTCTGCCCATATTTCTTCAAGAAAATTATGAGAAAAGGATGTCAAATATTGGGGATTAAATAATGGTGATGATGATATTTGTCTCATTGATAGTGCTACTACGTACACCATATTGAAAAATAAAAAAATATTTTTCTTGTTTAAAAATAGGAGAGACAAACGTTAATACCATTAGTGGTAGTGCAAAATTGATTGAAGGCTCCGGAAGAGCCACTATATTTCTCTCTGAAGGGACTAAAATTGTCGTAAATAATGCATTATTCTCTCCCAAGTCTCCAAGAAACTTATTGAGTTTTAAAAATATCCGCGAAAATGGATATCATATCGAGACAATAACTGAGACAAATGGTGAATTTTTATTAATCACAAGTATTATTTTTGGACAAAAATGCGTAGTAGAAAAATTACCTTCTTTTTCGTCTGGATTATATTATGCACAAATTAGTGCAATTGAAATTCATCACCTAGTAGATTAGAAATCTACTATTCCTAATGATTTTATGGTTTGACATGATCGTCTCGGACATCCCGGATCTATAATGATGAGACGAATAATTGAGAATTCACATGGACACTCATTGAAAAATCAAAAAGTATTAAAAGCCAAAAAATTCTCTTGTATTGCTTGTTTTCAAGGGAAATTAATTATTAGACCATCATAAGTTAAAGTTGGGACTGAATCCCCTGCATTTCTAGAACGAATTCATGATAATATATATGGCTGTGTAGATCCACCATGTGGACCATTTCGATATTTTATGGTGCTAATTGATGCATCAACTAGATGGTCACATGTATGTTTATTATTTACTCGTAACCTAGCGTTTGCGAGATTGCTTGCTCAAATAATTAAATTACGAATACAATTTCCAGATTATCCAATAAAGAAAATTCGTCTAGATAATGCTGGTGAATATTCGTCACATACTTTTGACGATTATTGTATGTTCATTAGAATAACTGTTGAACATCCTGTAGCTTATGTTCATACACAAAATGGTCTAGGCGAATCACTTATTAAACGGATACAATTAATTGCTAGACCATTGTTAATGAGGTGTAAACTTCCTTCATCTGCTTGGGGACATGCCATTTTACATGCAGCAACACTTGTGAGAATTAGGCCAACAAGCTATCATACTTATTCTTCCATACAATTAACTTTTGATTATGAGCCAAATATTTCTTATTTACGAATATTTGGTTGTGCGGTATATGTCCCAATTGCACCGTCCCAACGTTGTAAATTGGGGCCCCAAAGAAGATTGGGGATATATGTCGGATATAAATCACCTTCAATCATTAAGTATATGGAACCATTAACTGGTGATTTATTTACTGCGAGATTTACAGATTGGCATTTCGATGAATCATCTTTTCCGACATTAGGGGGAGATAAAAATCAATCTAAAAAGGAAATTATTTGAAAAAAATCGTTGAATTTTCTTGATTCTCGTACTAAAGAATGTGAATTAAAAGTTCAAAAGATTATACATTTGTAAAAAATTGCAAAATCAATTACTGGATGCATTTAATGACTCCAGAAAAGTTACTAAATCACATATTCTTGCTGAAAATGCTCCGATTAAAATTGATGTCCCTGAAGGACAAATTACAAGTGCTAATGAGTCTAAAGCACTCTTGAAGCGTGAGAGACCTTTTGGTTCCAAACATAAAAATTCTCGAAAGAAAAGATGAGTAGATGAATCAACAATTAGTGACAAAATTCAACCTCCTGAAGAGGTTGATCCTAAAGAGCCAATTCTTGAAGAGAATGAAATTATGAAAAATTCAATAAATTTTGTCACTTCAAGAAAAAGTTGGAATCGAAAAAAATAATTATTGATAGTATTTTCGCATATAATGTAGCACTCGATATTATATCAGAGGACGAGGATCATGAGTCTAGATCGATTGATGAATGTCAAGGTAGAAATGATTGGTCAAAATGGAAAGATGCGATACAATCTCAATTGAACTCACTGGCCAAAAGAAAAGTTTTTGGATCTATAGTCCAAACACCTGAAGGTGTAAAGCCAGTAGGATATAAATGGATATTTATGAGAAAAAAATGAGAAAAATGAAATTGTGAGATATAAAGCAAGACTTATAACCCAAGGATTTTCACAAAGACCTATATTTGACTATGATGAAACGTATTCACCTGTAGTGAATACTATCACAGTTAGATATCTTATGAGTTTTTACAGTAAATGAAAAACTAGATATGCGTCTAATGAACGTTGTTACTGCATATTTATATAAAAATCTTGAAAATTATATTTATATGAGAATTCCTGAAGGATTCAATATGCCTGAAGCATGCAAATCAAATCCTAAAGATATCTATTCTATTAAATTATAAAAGTCTTTGTATGGGTTCAAATAATTTGGACGTATATGGTATAACCGACTCAATGAATGTTTAAATAAAGAAAGTTATACAAATGATCTAATATGTCCATGTGTTTTTATCAAGAAAAATGGATCAAATTTTGTGATAATTACTGTATATGTTGATGATCTTAATTTAATTGAAACTCTTGAAGAGATTCAAAATAGTATTGAATATTTGAAAAAAGAATTTGAGATCAAAAATTTTGAAAAAACAAAATTCTACCTTGGTTTACATATTGAGCATTTGAAAGGTGAAATTTTTGTCCACCAAACTGCTTAAACCTGTAAGGTATTAAAGTGATTTTATATGGATAAATCACATACATTAAGTACTCCCATGGTCGTCAGATCATTAAATCCTAATAAGGATCCTTTTAGACCACAAGAGGAAGATGAAGACACACTTGGTCCTGAAGTACCATATCTCAGTGCAATTGAAGAATATTGGAATGCGACGATTAAAAAATCTCAAATGATGTTTGCATCAGGGGGAGAAATTAATTTACAAGAATAGTGTACTCTTTTTCCTTCACTAGGGTTTTTGTCCCGATAGATTTTTCCCTAGTAAGGTTTTAACGAGACATATACTTTGTGTAATTGACATCCAATGGGGAGTGTTATGAAACAACTAAAAGTGTGGATGTCTCTTTGTATTCTCAAGAGAATTAATTCATGATTTATGGTTACATTATGTATAGAAGTTATAATCTATAATTCTATTCATGTAATGAAGAAACCGTTTCATAAGTTTTTTCATATTCTTGTAATAGTGGGTGTTTAATACGATTGATGTACCTTTAATCTTGTAGCACCTATATATAGAGGTACATTGACATCTTTTGGAAGGACTTTTGGTATTGGTTATAATATAAGAATATCATTCTCCCTTTCTCTACTTCTTTTTCTAATATCTCTATTCATACTATAGTAGTTTATTAGTTTTACAAGAAAAATTAGTAAAAATAATAAAAATTTAATTTGACTCGGGATGACTCGAAGTGATTCAGTGTGATTCGACCGTTTCAACCCTTCACGGTGACGTCTCGGCGAATTAAGTATTTCGAAATCATATCGTCCCGATATCGTATCAGAGGGTTGGAGACGGTGACAACGCGGCTGAATCGTCTTGGACTCGGCCGAGTCAATCTTCAAAGAACCATGATCATGGAGTCCCATTAATTCAAGTTTCACAGCTTGGGACCAAGTCAAGTTCACTGCTGAGCTTCTTCCAAAGCATTTCAGGTACAATAATTTCTCAAGCTTTGTCAACCAGCTTGACAACTATGCCAGTACTTTCTTTGACTGCAGTAATGTGCTACCATTTTATCTTTCCAAAGTTTCTTACCTAACTTATATGTTCTAGGGTGTCAGAAACATTAGCTCGACTTTGATTAGACTTGTCATTATGC